GTTGGGTTGACAGGAACTGGGGAGGAAACAGGAGCTCACCCTGTTTAGCGCGAAGGCTGGGCTCGAACTGCTGAAGTATCGAGCATTTCTGGCCGGCAACTTTCAGCGTCATTAAGCCGCTGCGCCACCGTGTCCCCTTATTTAGACATCTATTTGAGATTAAACATCTCAATGTTCTTCACCATCTCTGTCTTCATCACAAACATCAGATCACTTATCTGAAAATTTGATTTAAAGATATACTCCAAATATATCCTATTATGCTTGTCCTTATTTTTCAGTTGTTCAGTTGGTTCTATAGATAGAATATTTTATAAAATTGCCTTATTTTACTACAGTACTTGCACTATGTTATGCTAACTAACTGTGAAAAAGCTTATTATTAAACATTTGACAAGTTACTCTAACATAATGAAGTTATAACTAGAGATAGGCAAACACTTTGTTCATCCATATAGTTCAGATCTAACATCTTCCCACCACTACATATGCCTGCAAATACATTGAGAATTGTATACTTCAGCAGGCATATTCATCTGGCATAGAAAATAAGGAAGATAACCTTGATGGAAATGTGCAAGAACTTTCAAGGTTCTTTTTTAAGTCCAGAGCAACGAGATAATGTTCAGAAGTGACTCAGGCAGATCCCTCCTTAATTAACAAGTATAAGAAAGGGAAGGAGGTACAGCACAGACTTGCAAGATTCTATTATAGACAATCTATAATAAAAGTAGTTTTAGCCTTCCTGCAGAGTTAATTTCCTGGCCTGGCCTACCTAGTCAGGCTGATAATAACTGACACACAATGTACACTGTTGCCTTTGTTTTTGTTTGCAGTTTTGTTAAGAATGGAGCATAGAGAGAGGTCCAGGCCAGTTGACAATCAGTGTTTTTTGTGTATATGATCTCAAGATGCATCTGCACATAATGGCTATTCCAACATATCCAACTTTTTAAAAATCATTTTACTGATTATTTTTATTTGAGTGAAAGAAAAAGAAAAAAATATATAAAAGAAGGAAAGAAAAGAAAAAGAAGAAGAAATGCAGGAAACAATACAGAAGAAAAGAAGAAAGAAAAGAAGAAGGAAGGAAGGAAGGAAGGAAGGAAGGAAGGAAGGAAGGAAGGAAGGAAGGAAGGAAAGATAAAGAAATGACTTCCAACCTTTTTTACAGCAGTTACAATCAATGTTATTATCCTTCCTCCCTCTTAAACTTAACAATAATCCCTTCATCCCCTTACTCAACACTTTTTCAATAGTCCACTCTAAAAATCATCATTTTAGATCTTTACATTTTCAGCAAAAAGTCCATAAAACGTTCAGTATTCTGCAAAAGTACTTCTTATTTTATCTCCCATTGTGGGTACTTCAATATATCTCCATTTTATGCACATATAATAATCTTGCCGGCCAGTGAAATAGTATCCTCTTCGGTGAATGTATCCATCATAAAACAAATATATTCTTCTGGAATGGTCCAACAATCCTCTCCTCCCTTCTGTAACTTTCACTCCCTTTAGTAATAACCATTTTTCTTTATTTCAAATTTGTAATCCGTAAAAGGGGAGTAAGAAATAAGAGAGGCTTTTTTCCCCATGTCCGTGACACTTTAGTCCCTTTCAGCACTCCATACTGTAATCACATGATCTTCTTAGAACTTAATATTTTCCTTCTTTTTCTACCTATCTCTTTGTTTAATACAGTCAGCCAATTAGCTTCCTTTACAAATTTAAACATTCTTCTTTCTCATGGAGATACATATTATCTGTTTATTTAATTCAAAAAATACTTTAAATGAGGCAATATTCCAAATTTAACTGTTTTTTTTTACTTTCTTATTCTAAATTTTTTTTTCATTTATTTCTTTTTAAATCTTTGTAACTAGCTCCTTCCTTTTTACTTTAATCTTTCCCAGATTGAAGGTACGCTCACCCAGGTGGCATTAGGTACTCAGCTGCTCCGAAGGTCTCTTTACACTTTAAATTTGCTCCATTTAAATGTGCTTTAGAAAGTGGATTTGGCAGACTCAGTGTCCTTTAAACAGGCTACAGGTGAGGCTGTGAGCATGATGTCTTCTTCTGCGGCTCCCAGCACTCTACTTGTGGGTCTTCCTCACAAGAAGCTGCCCCCCTGGAGCTCATGTGGGTGATCTCATGGCTTTTTGCAGATATGTGTTAGTCTGCCATGTTTCCACCTGGAAGTCAACCCAACTTATCCAGGTTTTCATGCCAATATATTCTGAAAATGTCCCATGTATCCTAAGCCCTGGGGAACTGATGGCTTCTAAGAACTCAACTAATGATAGCAATGAAGCCAAGAGTTTATACTGATGCCTTATTCATGAGAAAAGCATAGACAGAAAAGTTTAAGAAAGTTCTGTAAAAATGTGTTTCAGGAGAGAATGGTTTTGATAAGTAATGATGACAAATTTTGACCTGGTCAGATAGAAAAATGATGATAGATAGATAGATAGATAGATAGATAGATAGATAGATAGATAGATAAGAGAGAGACTGAGCTGCAAATATATATATATATATATATATATATATATATATATATATATATATATATATATATATATATATATATATATATATATATATATATATATATATATATATATATATATATATATATATATATATATATATATATATATATATATATATATATATATATATTTTTATATGTAAAAGATGTATTCCATTCATTCCATTTTCCAACATTTACTCCTTTTCAGACAATAGGAAAAGCCTGCTGGATAACCTCCCAAACCATTTTTCTCATGCCACCAAGCAAGTATGATACATGCACTAACTTGCCCCGGTCAAGAAAAGTTTCTAATCCTATTCAAGCATTTTAATTGCTTTAATATATGCCCACACCACACATAGCCAAAAAGACAAAGAAAAGAGAAGAAGAAAGAAAAGTAAAACAAATGAAAAAAAATCCACAAAATATAATAAACTAGAAAAGAAGATAAAAAATACATTGTTACACAAAGGAAATTGTTCAGATTTATTTTTAAACACAACCTTAAACCTTGACTGTCAATCTTTCCATTACACCAAGAGAGAGCCAGCTCATGAACAGAAAATGAATGTGTATTGGTGATTCTGAAGTTGCTCTGTATTTTCAATATTGAAGCG